TAAAACTCACCCTTAATTATCACTTTCGATCTGTAATAATCATGTAAATTCTCGGCATTATTGACTTTGAATAAAAAAAACCACACTGCTACTTTTCTTTCATTATCTTTTATTTAGCTAGAAACCATAAAACACATTCACAATGTCTCATATGCTCAAAAATTCTGGTAAAGGATTTAATTAATACAGTTGTTTAAAAAGAAACAAGTTTTCTTTTTTTATTATTCGTCCCGGAAAAGGATTTTTTCAAAGAAATCAATAAATAAATAAAAACAGCATATTTTGGTCAAATCATAATGGTTGGATAAATGAATATAGTACTTTTTCCAAAAGACAATTCATACAGATTTTTTCAAGAAAATAAATAAATAAATAAAAATCATATATATTACTTGGGTAAATTTGTTTAAATGATCCGAGACATTCAATTAACGATCAATCAAAAAATGAAATCTTTTATTTTTTATTGCTTTATTTGTTGCCTTTACCCATTATCAAGAAAATGAAGGTGAAAGTAATGAATTTGGACGTGATAGAATTATAAAAAAATCTAAACCATATTACAAAACCAAGTGAAGAGTTATCATTGTCTTCTAATTTGCTGATCTGGAGAAATGTCTCTGGATGTTTGTCAATCATCTGTTCACAAAAATTTGTATCCGACTATTCAATTGCTCAAATACAAATAATTCTGATATCTGGATATTGGTCTATTCACAATTCATACCAAAAAATTAATTTGCATATATATATATATATATTTCAGATGCAGATAGTAGACAACCAATTGGATTTCATTGGAATGAGCGCATTGACTTTAAAAAATACGAAAGCTAGTTCTTATGTTTTATGTGTGATTTAGTTCAGATAGTAATAACTACTGCTCAAACACGACGCGTTTTACACTATGTAATCTTCAACAAATAAATATACCCTGCACGCTAAGTAAAGTGGCTCTACAGTCAAATAAACTCGACTATTTGTCTTTTAAATTTTAATAGAAAATTCGTTGCAATTTTGTACGTATTTGCAAAGAAATTGCAGGCAAACAGACAAAAAGGTTTGTAATTTTTTGCGAGGGGGCTTTTTTTTTTGTATAATTAAATAATCACGGATATCATGATGATAAGAAAAAGTTGGTATAATCTCAATTGCAGTATGCTGTATAAACATCAACCAAAATAAATGATGACAACCAGCCCTTTAATTCGCGATACTTTTAATAATGAGTGATTTTAAAAAAATTAAACCAACCCTTGTTTAATTTCATTAGGTTCGATCATTCGTTATTTACATTACGAAAGCAGGTTGGAGAAGAAACTCTAAACA